CCATGCCATAGCCCTCACCGTACCGTGCACCTCTAGCCCATGCCATAGCCCTCACCGTACCGTGCACCTCTAGTCCATGCCATAGCCCTCACCGTACCGTGCACCTCTAGCCCATGCCATAGCCCTCACCGTACCGTGCACCTCTAGTCCATGCCATAGCCCTCACCGTACCGTGCACCTCTAGCCCATGCCATAGCCCTCGCGTTAGTCGCGTATGCCCTGCAACCCCTGCTGGCTGCGGCATATGATATTTAAGGGGCCCAAAATTGTCACATTTGGGGTGGGGGGGGGAAGAGAAGAAATGTTTTAAATTGTATTGAAGTTGCAGTGGGCGTTCAAAACAAACGTGGTGGCTCTGTTTACATGTCTAGGAAAGGAACAACTCATGACATGCAATTGATTAACGTTTGTACACGGGATGTCCAGTGGATAATGGGTGAGGGGGGATTAGAGAGTCAAGACATCTACAATATTTCCCAAGACGTAATATAAGCCAGTACTATATTATAATAATACGTTTCTGTTTTAAGAGTTTTGAGAGTTTAAACAAAAAAACAAAAACTAAAACATTTAAAACAGTAACACAGAACGGTAAATTGAAATTTGAAGTAATCTCCCTTAAGATTAGTCCATGAAAAGGTTCGTGTGCGAGGTGACTTGCTGGTGTCATGAAAACTCAATCAATTCAGTTATTAGACTGGAGTACGCTAATGTAGGAAAAGGGAGGAAGAATGGGGATGGGGTAGTAATTTTTTTTTATTACACATTGATGCGTGACATTTTCAGCCAACTGTAGGGATTTTTCATTGCAAAAATATGTTCCCGTCCCGGGTGGCACTTGCCCTCCTGGAATGGCGACTGGAAGTCCTCGAATGGCAATAATTGCACTCCACTAAGATTTCATCTCGACATTCCTATCAGTTTTCCTTCTCCATGACATTCACTGGAGTGGGTTAATAGGTATAAGTATATTCTAAAGAATTATTGCATACTTCATCGAACAATCTTCTCTCCATGGTTTTACACAATTCTGTGACCTCTTAAAATTTCAACTGACTGAAGAATGAAGATTTGTAATTGGCAGATATAACGGACAGAGCCTTTCTTAGGATTTTGAGGGCCCTAAGCACGGAGCGTAGTTTGGGGGCCCCGGAAGGGAGGGGGTACGGGGGTGGAGATCGCTCGAGCTGAGGAGAAAACACCACCCACCACTGCGGCACCTCCATTCTGCCTTCATCAATGTTTCCTCTTTGCTCGCGTGTAACCACTAACCATATTGATAATTTGGTTAATCTGGTTTAGCCAGACTAACCGATCGCTATTTATACTTTCGCATTCCCACGGCCAAGCCCCCGATTTCCTGTCTGCCACCCCCAAAGCTCACCCCCTGCTGCTTCCTTTCCCCTGCCTACGAATTCAACTCAGAATGTTATATTTCAGGATGAGGAAGGTAACGTGAGTGACACAGACGGCTGTAGTGCCAGTTAAAAAAAAACGGGGATCAAGGGCGCCTCAAGGGGGCCCGTCACGTTCGGGGTCCCGTCACGTTCGGGGCCCTACGCGGATGCGTAGTCAGCGTATGCCTAAGAACGGGCCTGTAACAGAGGAGTAGCGGTAGACCCACTTGAGACAAGTTCTTGCAGCAAATTTTGCTTTGCTATCATATTGTGTAGGCCTATTGTTTGCTTTGATTTTTTTTTAGCTTTTTCATATAAGCATGGATGATTAAGCAAGCCACTGTCGTAGGAAGAAGAGTGTGATCCACCTCGTTCAGCGCTTATTTTCTTTTTGTGGATAAGTGGCATTTTCGGCTAACTTCAGACTTATTTTCGTGGGGAAAAAAAAGGGGGGGGGGCAAAATTCTTGGCACTAGCCCTTTCTACGCCAATGAACTAAGAATGAATGAATCCAATCCTATAAAGAATACGACTATCACAGTGGTAATTTGTTGTTTAGCCATGACGTGATGAAGAAGGAAATGTCTCGTACGTGTGATACATAAAGACATTATTAAGAGAGAAATGCCTTTTAATGTTAGCAATGGCCACATTTCCTAATATTATCCTCTATAATAGACTTACTATTGTAGTGAGCATGTACTGTTAATGCGAAAACAATTTAGGGAGATTTAAAAGGAAAAGCTATAGCTTTCCATTGCCGCTTGTACTTGAATTGGTAATTGCGTACTTTCTTTTGTACTCGTATTCAAACCGTTGTTTAAACTCTTGCAAAAATAGAAAGCAAACAAGAATTAAGCCACAAGTTTCGAAACTTTAGGACGGGAGCTATATTTTCTCTTGAAGTGTGCTCTGGATTTTTTTTTTTATTGCATCAACATAACAACGTGACTCACAGATCGAGAACAATTTGATATCCCCAAATTAAGGCTTCGAAATCACTAGCCAAAAGCAAAGGCCAATACAGAAAAAATGCTGTTTTTTTTTTTTCCTTCAAAAAGAATGATTATAAGGATCATCATTTAAAAACTAACTATTTTTAAAAATTATAAACTAATTACAAAACTTAAGAATTTAAATATTTGATCGGTAGAAATCCTTCAATGACTGAAGCAATGCATTGAATTGTTCAAAATCGCAAAATCATCTTTAAACTTGGGCAAATGTCACCAGTCTGGTTCCATAGACATTTTTTATTGTACTATTTAAAGTCAACCATTAATTTCCAGATAACCTCCAAAGACTCAGATTTTTTTCCGATTGCCGTAAATGTGGCCTTTGACCAACGTGTGGGCCATTGTGGCGCTATGCCATTCACTGGAAGGAATGGGGGCATGAAAGCCCTTACTAAAATGACAATTTAAGTACCAAAGTCCTGCAGAATCTACGGGTATCTTATTGACACATCGAGTAACTATTTCAACTTTTAAGCCTTTCAAGCATGGTAGTTCAATAAAGTGTATGAATTAATTGAGCCATGTCATTGCATAATGGTCCGTTATATTTACTTTTTATTTAAGTTGTTTTGAGTAAATGACACTCAAAGAGAAACGAAACCACAGCTTAACAGCATTCTGTGAAGCGTAGACTAGATGCTGCTTCCACTCGTATCGCAGTATTTTAGTTTAGAGGATATGCTTTGTTTAGTTGACAAGAAGAGTGTGTCACGTGCAATGCTTGCGTGTGTGTGTGTGTTTGTGTGGCTATCGTTGGAAAATCCTCATATATGAAGCTAATTATGGGCTAATTTTCTCATAATAGTGTACATATTCGGAATTTGATGTAAAATGCAAAATAGTGTGCAATTTTTATATTTTCAGGAAGTCTCTTAAAAGTACCACCAATCTTAGGCGAACGAAACTATGTATATATATATATATATATATATATTGGTATATACATTTTTATTTTTACGCGTATCCAGAAATGCCTACTTTGCCAAACAATAAGCTGCTTACAATCACAGAATGACATCTTAAAGTTTCTTGATTAAGAGTGTATAGAGGCTGTCGTTGAGATAACATATCATGCCAATTCGTAGGTTGACGATAAGTAGACCATGGACTTACACACCTTTACATCACTTACTGGGTTTCCTGTTCAAAAATTATTGAGGCAACAGTCAAACTCTAGTGTTAGACCCAGATTTTCCTGCATGACGAGTGGCCACTGTCGATCACTACAAGAGCAGAAACATATTGCAGACATCAGCACCTCTGACTGGCAATGATGGTGTGTGCTAAAAAAAAAATAAAGAAGATAAACCTCTAGGGGTTCAAATGTTTAGACGAGTTGGAGATCATAATCCATCTCTCCAGTGCAGTTCAAGAACAAAATAAAAACCCTATGTGCCACAAGATGTCAGGAAAACTTCAGAAAGTGTAGGTCGCAGACAGTGTCCTGAGTGAAACCGT